CCTCTGCGCCTTCGGCCATCCTGTATTCTTTAAATTTAAGAGTCTCTTTAAAAGCACGGGGCGAAATACGCTTGTGGTCGTTATAAGGAAACGAGAAACAAGACTCCCCCTCCCCAAAAAAGAGCAGGTCTTTAAGGCTCCACCAGAGACTCCATCCGGCTCGTGTAAGATAATCAGGACGTTTGGTAAGTCTTTGTTTAGCCAAAAAATAAATGTGGAAATACTGAAGTACTCTGCGCTGAGAGAAATCCTTTTGTTTACCCTGAGTAACCACGGGCTTAAAGGCTTTTACGTCTTCCCAGTTTCACACTAGGGATTTTTGGAGGTCCCCCCCCCCCCCCCCCCTTTCCCCCAACCCGTGGGACACGCAGCTGCAGCGCCCGCGAGTCTGCCACAGGCTCTCAACACACTGACTCTGCCAGGCTGTGCTGAAACAAGCAAAGTTCAGTTAACAACGGAAAAAAGAAAGCTGTTGGTATACAGATCTTAAGGAGTCAGCAAATAATTACAGCATTACTTAGAAACTCGATGAGAAAATACTAAAGTACAACCCTTTCAATTCTGACCAAGTAAAAAAATCTGAAGGAAGGTGTCTTTAAATCACCTTAAAATACTTTCACGAAGTACATACAACAAGAAAACCTACTCAAAGTCAGTATCAAAGTAGAAACACTTTAATATATACAAGATACAGCATATACAAAAAGATAAATTACAATTTAAGTTTATGAACAGAGACCTCTTTCTGCTTCTTCTGTTTCTTCTTTAATTTGTTTGCATCTTTGATTTGCATTTTCACTTGATCTTGTAGCTGAGAAAAGAACGCCTGGGATGATTTCAAAACCTTGTCTTTACCTTCATCCTGTCAGTGGACAAAATATTTGTTATAACAGAGCAATACACAAATAGTACCATTAGATTATTTTAGTTACTTACATATAATAATGACTTTTTAAAAATAAAAAGTTTGCCAATAGTAATTTGCCAATAGTAATTTATTTTCATTGCACTTTATTCCTGCTCTCCCAAGAAATAAAAAGTATTTTCCCTTTTAAATTATCATTTGTCATGGTAGGTAAGCACAGGCATTAAGAATAGATCCTTGTATATATCATGAGGTACAACTACAGATCTATATTTTGTGTTCTTTTCTGCTTGCAAAAGGTAAACACCCAAATATTTTAGAAGTAATCAGAAATGTTATTTTTCCTGTTAGTTTCTAATACCTTAAAATTTCAGAGATTTTTTTAATTGTAAGGCATCTTTAGGTGGTACACAAATTTACTGTTTTACAGCGTGCAAAACACAGCATCAATTACAGAGATAGCTCCATAATAAGAATTAAATAAATAAATAGGAAGTGTTCTATTTTGAAATATCTTAAGTGACTCAAAGATTATAAAGAACTATATAGGAACCTCATCCTCAATTATGCATGCAAACAGTCCCATTTATTCAAGTGGATCAGTTCAAATGCAGGAAATAGAGAGTAATTTCTAGTACTTGCAGGAACAACACCTCATGAACTTGGAAATTAAAAAAAAAAAAAGCATATAACATATAAACAATCATCTCATTTTTGTTTGGGAATACACTTTAATACAAAGTAATTGTATCATAGAGTTCATAGTTTTCCATATCTAAAGATCAAGTTGCTTGCACTTCCAGAAACCAGTCGTCTTTAGTATATTTCACACTGTGTCTGAGAAAGCTTCTAAGGGTTCCAACAATCATTAAGGCATCATTTATTCGTAATTCAAGCGGTAACATCTACATAAACATGCAATATAAGCAAGAGGTTCACTGCAAAGGGCAACCAGAGTTAAATTTTGTCAAGCCTCTCTATCCTGACATAACGCTATCAGGATGATTACAAGAATTAGAGCTAAAGAGGTGTTCAGCACTACTTTGCACCGAGACAGTTCCAAATGTGGTTTAGAACAGTCCTTCCAAAACCATAGTTCAAAAGATACGGAAAGATATTGGGGGAGGGGACAGTGTGCATCTGCCCTTTCCATGTCTTCTTCCTACCTCTTCCTCTCCCAATTCTAAAGAAGTTTACTTCTTTCTCACAGTTATGCTTACCTACTATATTTGCTCAAACATAAGTCAGGTAACAAGAGGTGAGCGGGAAGCAGATACACTCCTTGGGTACAAGAATTTTTGAGGGACAGAGAAAGATTAGGAGACATAGTTATGCCAAGAGGGACGGGAAGGAAACAAATCCAAAACTTTATAACCTTTTTGCTACAGCTGCCTTTCCTCTCTCTAGATAAACATTATTTATCCTTGCCATTTTAGAGGTTCTCAGCTAAAAATATTAAGTTACTCAGGACTACGTAAGAGAGCCTTACCTTGAGCAGAGAAGCTTTGCCTTCTTTAGTAAGCTTTTTTAGTTTTGCTGCAGCAGCTTTTTTGCCAAGTTTTGTGCCTTGCTCTGGCTTCATCTTTTCCAGCAGCTTTTGACGTTTCTCTTTCTCCCTTAGCTTCATACGTTTACGAAGCTTTTTCTTTCTTCGTTCTCGTTTTCTGTCTGTGGGAGTCTTTTCTGCATCTGCTTTTACATCACCAGCTTTGTTCTTCTCCTAAAGAAACAAAAATTGTTTTGCTCTAGATCCATAAGGATACAAAAATAAAAGGCTCGCTTCACAGGATTCAAAGTGGTCTTTCTTAGTCTTTCCATCACTTTCAGCTGTTTACCCAGTTTAACTGGATGCTGCATTAAGGTAGAGGCCAAAACAGGCCAAAGTTGGAAAGTGGGACATTGTGCAATTGAGAGAAGGCATGCTAATTTCTCTTCCCTATCCTTGTTTAGCTTTCCCTCCCCAAATACTCATCCACATGTTGGGAAATAACTAGCACTGCATAAATTCAGGAACAAGAAACAATTGTTTAGTATTAAGACCTGGTATGGCCAGGTAAAATTAGCTCTTTCTAATGACCCGAAATAACTAAATAACTCAAATGGTAGGTAAGAAGGTCTATGAAGTGAGGAACCCAGGAGGGCGGGGGGAAATTCTCCCACTGATCTGGCAATCAGTACACGTTCCTATCCACAGTACAGATCCTCTCTGGACCCTTACGTGTTTGGTTTTTTGTTTCTTAATTTGTTTGTTTACCTTGATCTCCTCTGGTGCTAGGAGAGCTGCATCACTAACGGCAACAGGTGCTACTTCCTCCATACTTACAGCAGGAAGGTTCGAGACTATTTTAACTTCTGGCACAGGCTAGAAATAAGGAAACATATTCAGGGCTACGTATACCATCTCATAACAACTTACAGTTAACTGAAGAAATGAAATATTTGGTTTAGACGCAATTATAGTACATTTCACATGAAATAAAAAAGAAGCTCAATTACACTCCTAATATTTGCTCTACTTTCCACTTCCCAAACGTACATTAAAGTATCCAGCTTCAAAGAGGAAAAACTTATGAAATTTATGTACTCACTGGTTTGGGTGTGAAGTGGAAATTACAAAGAGCATCCAGTTTCAAGAACAGTGAATCCATCATTTCCTGAATTTCTTTATGTTCAGGATTTTCTTCTTCTTGAGTCTTTTGCTGTATTAACAATATAACGTTACTACAACAACACTCGTAAGGCAATTTTAACGTAAAAATACTACTTTAGCAAAACTAATAACCATGCAGTATGCAATTCATAGCCATTTCACAGATGAAGACTCAAGGAAAGGTTACAGTACTGCCACAGAGCTAAAAGCAGAGTTAGCAGTGTTCAAACAAAGGTATTGTTTATATGCCCATTAGTATGTCACCTGGTGAAGTTTCAAGTACTCTTGCTCATAGATCTCAGC